GGAAGCTGCCCCCCCCCCTTCCCCCCCTAACCCTAACGAGCTGTTGCTAATTAATGGGTTGATTTTCTGGGAAAAAAAATATTTTTTTTGCACAATTTTTAGCAGCAAATGGGGCTGTGGAAAAGCTAAAAATGGGAAAAATCCCCTCAAAATGGGATTTCCAGCTGAATTCTGCCCCTCTGGTTGTGGCGGCTCCTGCGGCGCTGCAGCTGGCTGAGCATCCAGAAGCTCATTAGCCAGAAACTTGCATATTTTATCAGATACTGAATATTCATGAGCATTGCAGCAAAACTTCCTTGGCGGTATTTTCTGCAAAAAAACCCCAACCCAAAAAGCACCTTTTTCTAGCAAAAAGTTGCGAAAGCGACGTCGCAGCTGGGGGATGAAGACGCCGGAGGCCAGTTGCTTAATTAATGAAACGAATTATTTATTTCCAGCTGGGCAAAGGTGGGGGGAGTGAGGGGCGCTGAGGGGGGGCTGCGGGCGATCCGTTTTCCTCGGGTTTGGCCCCGTTTTTGGGGGGCACCGGGGTGGGGGGGGGGCACGAGGCAGCACCACATCAGGTTGGGCAGAGCACTGCAAAGAGAGAGGTCACGGGTGTGCACCGGCACACACGAGGGTGCGGCAGCGATGTATGGGGTTGCACATGGGTGCATGACGATGCACAAGCGTGCACGGGGATGCACAAGCGTGCACAGGGGTGTACAAGGATGCACGATGATGCAGGCGTGTGCACAGGGATGCAAGAGTGTGCACGGGGATGCATGAGGATACACGAGTGTGCACAGGGATGAACAATGATGCATGAGTGCACACAACGATGCACGAGGGTGCACCATGATGCACAGGCTTGCACTGGGATGCACAAGGGTGTGCAAGGGTGCACAACGATGCACGACGCACAGGCTTGCACTGGGGTGCACAAGAGTGCACAAGCATGCACTGGGATGCACAAGGGTGTGCAAGGGTGCACAACGATGCACGAGGGTGCACAATGATGCACCAGCCTGTGCGGGGGTTGTATGAGGACACACGAGTGTGCAGGGGGCATGAGCATGCCCACGTGAGCATGCAGAAAGGATGCATGAGCGTGCAGGTGGGCGCACAAGGATGCACGAGCACACACGAGTGCTGCACGAGGCTGCCCAGGGGCTGCAAATGGGATGCATGGAGGATGCAGGAGCAACATGGAAGGGATGCACGAGGAACGCACAAGACTGGTGCTTGAAGGGTGCGTGAGGGATGTGCGAGGATGCAGAAGGCTGCACAAGAGATGCACAGGAGCTGTGGGAGATGCACAGGAACGCACAAGGATGCCCGGTAAGTGCAATGACACTGCAACTAGGGAAATGCTAGTGCAATTAGTGGGATGCCCAGCGCAATTCATTAATGACGTTCCTGGTGTGTGAGGGTTGCACAGGAGAGGTGCACGATGGTGCATGAGGGGTGAAAGAGGGCGCACAGGGGGTTCATGAGGCAGCATGAAGGCGGCAGATGGGCCATGTAAGGGTGCAAGGGAGGTGCAAGGAGGATGCACAGTGACCTATGGAGGTGCGTGAGGAATGCACAAAGGCTGCACAAAGGATGTGTGAGGGACACACAGGAGACAGACCTGGGGTTCACTCAGGATGCACTGGAGATCTCTAAGGGATGCATGGAGATGCATGAGGGATGGGCAAGGGATGCACGAGGGATACAAGGGAGATGCACAAGGATGCAGAAAGGATGCACGGGAGATGCATGAAAGATGCATGATGGATGCACCAGAGATGGACACGGGATGGACAAAGGATGCATGATGGATGCACCGGAGATGGACACTGGATGAACAAAGGATGCATGATGGATGCACCGGAGATGCACATGGGATGCAAGACGGATGCAAGGGAGATGCACAAGGGTGCACAGGAGATGCACGAAGGATGCAAGGGAGATGCAGAAGGGATCCATGGTGGATGCACAGAGGCGCAAGGGCTGCACAGGATGCACGGGGCGAGCAGATACCTTTGAGGATGTAGTCCGTGAGCAGTGTGGGCACCTTCTCGTTCCCCTCCTTCATGGCAAACAGAACTGCGAGGGGGAACGGAGCCATCAGCCCAGCCATACTGCCCCCCAAATGTCCCTTTTCCCCCCAAACCAGCCCCACAGTTGCCATAGAGACACTGCCAGAGCTTCCCACGACACACCAGGCCTGAGCGCATCCCAACCAAGCGCTTTCACCTCCAACCAGCTGGTCCGTGGCAAAGCAGAACGCGTGTTTTACCCCCAAATCGGCGCTGGTGTAGGGTGCAAAAAGGGGGTGCGTGTGTGCGTGCTGCAAATCAGTTGTGCTGCAGTCATGCAAAATGGGTGGTTGCACCCCAAACCAGCCCTGCTGCCATGCTGCGAGAGGGCTCTTCCCCCTGCCAAAATGGGCTTCGTTGCAATGATGCAACACGGGTGATCGCACCTCAAACTGCCCATGCTGCAACGATGCAAAAAGGTGCTTGCACCCCAAACCGCCTGTGTTGCAATGATGCACCTGAACGGCAGCCGCTGCAGCAATGCAAAGGGTGCATTTGCATCCTGAATCCGCCACGTCGTGGCGCTGCAAAATGTCTGCTTCTGCCCCGAAACGGCGGCTTGAACCAATACTCACTGTTAGTGAGCATTTGCAGGTCCTCGACGGAGGGCGGCGACCCCTTCTTCTCGTAGGGAATCACCGTGTTCAGATACTGCAAAAAGAAAAAACACCCCAAAACCCACCCTGATGGCACAGAACTGCCCGGTTCTTGCACCCCCTCAAGGCCAAGCACCCCAAATTGGTGCAAAAGCAGCAGAACACGTCCGCGATTTCCATGCGACTGCGTTTAATTTGCAGGTATTTGGGGGGGTTACTGAATTAATCACGTGCTGCAGAACTCACCCAAAAACGATTAGGGAGGATTTTTTGGGGTGAAAAAGGGTGATTTTTGCGAGATGGATCAGGGGGATGTAAGGGAGGGAGTGGGGGTGTAAAATTAAAAAGTATTTTAACAGGGGTTTGGGGGAGGCAGGGGAATGGGGTGGTGTGGGGGC